AGGTTGATTTTAAATTTGTATTTATTTGGGTTTTTTTTTTAGTTGTTTGTTTTGTACTTATCTATTGAATTGGTTTTTCAAGACAGGGTTTCTATGTGTAACAGCTCTGGCTGTCCTGGAACTCATTTGTAGACCAGGCTGGGCTCAGAGATCCACGTGCCTCTGCCTCCAGAGTGCTGGGATTAAAGGCTTGTTTTTTTTTTGTTTGTTTGTTTTTGTTTTTTTTTTTGGGATAATACAACTTTTTTAATGGTGGTTTGGGGTTTTTTTTTTGTTGTTGTTGTTTTAAAGATTTAGTTGTTTATTATGTATACAGCATGTATGACTTCAGGCCAGAAGAGGGCACCAGATCTGATTACAGATGGTTGTGAGCCACCATGTGGTTGCTGGGAATTGAACTCAGGACCTCTGGAAGAGCAGTCAGTGCTCTTAACCTCTGAGCCATCTCTCCAGCCCCTGTTGTTGTTGTTTTGGTTTGGTTTGGTTTGGTTTTTCGGGACAGGGTTTCTCTGTGTAGCTTTGCACCTTTCCTGGAACTCACTTGGTAGCCCAGGCTGGCCTTGAACTCACTGAGATCCACCTGGCTCTGCCTCCCGAGTGCTGGGATTAAAGGCTTGTGCCACCACTGCGCGGCTAATGGTTTATTTGCAATGTATCTTTATATACATTGGTGTTTTGCCTGCATGTGTGTCTGAGAGTTGTCGAATCCCTGGACCTGGAGTTATAGACAGGTGTGAGCTGCCATGTGGGTGTTGGGAATTGAACCAGGGTCCTCTAGAATAGCAATCAATGTTCTTAACCACTGAGCTATCTCCACCCTGTTTTATTCTTTTTTAAGATTCATTTTTCTCGAAAAACCAAAAAAAAAAAGATTCATTTTTATGTGCATTGGTGTTTTACCTACATTTATGTTTGGGAGAAGGTGCCAAGTCCCCTGGAACTGGAGTTCCAATTGAGAGCTGCCATGTGGGTGCTGGGAATTGAACCCGGGTCTTCTGGAAGAGCAGCCAGTGCTCTTAACCACTGAACCATCTCTCCAGCCCACAATGTGTAGCCCAAGCTGGCCTCAAACTCCTACTTCTGCCTCCTTCAGCAAATCCTACTGGCAAGCACCACAGATTGTTTTATTCCTCTTTTCCTTCTTTTTTTTTTTTTTTAAGATTTATTTGTTTATTATGTATAGAGCATGTATGACTGCAGGCCAGAAGAGGGCACCAGATCTCATTACAGATGGTTTTGAGCCACCATATGTTTGCTGGAAATTGAACTCAGAACTCTGAGCCATCTCTCCAGCCCCTCTCTTCTCTTTTTTTGATTTCTTGAGACAGGGTTTCTCTGTGTAGCCCTGGCTGTCCTGGAACTCACTCTGTAGAACAAGCTGGCCTTGAATTCACAGAGATCTGCCTGCCTTGTCCTGAGTGCAGGGATTAAAGGTGTGTACCACCACTACCTGGCTTGTTTTATTCTTGAAGCAGTATCTCACTACATAGCTTGGATGGCCTCAAACTTTCAGTGTTCCTGATGCCTCTGCTTCCTGAAGAGTAGGATTACAGGTGTCTCACCACACCCAGCCTGGATACATTTTTTATAAAATTAAAAAGTTCACCTGAGCTGGGGGTGGTACACACCTGTGTTGTAATGCCTACCTCATTCATCTTACTTTATCTCTTCACATAGTCATGGTTTCATCTCAAATCACCATAAAAAGGGGTGAGCATAAAACAGTGAGATTGTTTGAAAGTTAAAGCACTTTCATGTAATTTTGTTACAATAGTCTCATAATTGATCTACTGTGTTATTAGTGTTACTAAACTTTTTATGCCCGGTTTATGAACTTTATCATAAGTATAAGTAAAAACAAGATATATGCAGAATACTATGCTGTGTGCAGTTTTGAGCATCCACAGGGAGTCTTAGAACACACTCTTTGCAGATAAGGAGATGCTTACTGTATCTTCTTGTTCTAAATTCGTTTCTGGTAGGCTGGTCAGAGGAGCCTGCAGGCCTTGTGTGAAGAACACATGTTTTCAATCTTTTTGTTCTTTTGTTTTTCCAGACAGAGTTTTTCTGTGTAGCCTTAGGCTGTCCTGGATCTCGCTCTGTAGACCAGGCTGGCCTCTCGAACTCACAGAGCTCTGCTTGCCTCTGCCTACCGAGTGCTGGGATTAAAGGTGTGTGCCACCATCACTGGCAAAGGCTGAGTCTTAACCTCCAATCACAGACACATTTTTATATCCTTGATTTCCCCAGAAAGCAGAGTTGTATGCTGAGAGATGCCTCGGTAAGGGGCCTAGGGAGGGGTTGCTCTGCTTCTGAGGTGCACCTGATAAAGGATGGAGCTCTAATTTAGGAGGAATGTCCCAGCTGGGAGAAGGAATTCTAGTTAAAGCCATGTCCCAACTTTGTAGGGGATATCCTGCATCGGAAAGATGTGTCTACAGGTTTGAGAGGGTACCCAGAGGAGATTGCTGCGTTGGGAGGATCATCCAACTGAAGCAATTTCCTGACTATGACGTCTGCCCCACAAGAGGGGGCTATTCCAACATGGAGGAATGTCCCAGCTGGCAAGCCCCCTCCCCCATCAATGAGGACACAAAGGGAGGGCATGTCTGGCTGGGACCTGTGCACCAATAAAAAAAGTCACATTGATTGTGGGTGTTCCCATATGGAGAGATGCTCACCCCAGTTAGCATGGAATGCTCCAGTTAGGAGGTGTGCTCACCCTGATTACCTGAAGCTCTGCCAGGTAGAAGCTTCCTGTGTACAAGGCAAGGCCTCTCCTGCAGCCCAAGTAACTTTCACTAGACTGAAAACCTAGTGCCTCATGAACTAGAGAACCACCTGATCTCTACAAACAATTATATCTTTTCCATCTCTGAGACATCACAAAAGAAGGAAAAGGGAAATCTTGTTGACAAAAATTAAGGAAGTCTGAGTTTTGACAAGCAGTCTAGACTCAGTATCACAAGGAGACAAGACTCTGGAAAAATGGCTCTGCCAAGATGGCCCCTGGGTTCATAGCCACAAAGAGGAGGAAATGGACAGTACCCACCCAGTACCAAGGATGCTTTAGGATAGCTATTTATGATGGACTGGCAAACTGAGCCTTTCTGGAGATCATGGGAAAGTCACACACAGTCCTGTCACCATGGCCCAGAGCCATCTTCCCCAAACCCACCTCTCCATCTCACCTCCCCCCAGCCCCCCACCTTCTGTTCCAGATGTCTGCATAGCTTGCTTCGTTCCTAGCCTTTGTGCCTTAAATATCACTGCCTCAGAAAAGCCCTCCCTTTTCTCCTCACTTCTCATCTGTTATTCTGGATGCATTTTTCTCTACAACCCTCCCACCCCCTCCACAATCTCTCTTATTTATTTTAGGTGTTTCCTTTTTTTAAAGACAGTTTCATCATGTAGACCTCATCAAGTTGGCCTCAATTAAAGGTGTTGTAATTAAAGGTGTGTACCACCATGCCAGGCTCCCTATACTCTTATATAATAAATATCCTGTATGATCACTGTTTTGTGTGTCATAGTGCCCACAATACTCTCTGGCATACACAGAATACAAAAACAAACAAACAAACAAAAAAAATTAAGTGAAGAGGTTGAAACACAGGGAGTAAACCTTTTACCAGCCAAATAAGATGTGACTGATCTGTTCGAAGACTACAGGCCCTTCCACAGCCAATTTGCAGTCACAATCATACTACAGCTTAGGAACCACTGACTACCTAGCTGCTCCTGCACTAAGCAGGTGAGGTGTGTTCACACTCACATCACTTCTGAGAGACAAGCCTGTTTCCCATTCCCAGTTTCAAAGTGAGTGAACCAGAATGAGGGAGATGAATGTATGCAGCCAGCCTGGGATAGGGTGGGATTCCAATTCAAGACTTTTCTTTCAACTGTAGGCGGTACTGCTTCCAGTCAGCATTCAGACCTGTGGCCTACTTTTTGCCTTCCTCCAAGATCCACCTATCTATCCTACAGTACCAAATGGTAGCCAGGTATATGGCTGCCAGGTGAAAGACCATGTTGCAAGGAGTAAACAATGAAGTATTCCAAAAGATACCACCCAGTTCTAGCCTTCTGACATTGGGGTGCAGACCTAGTTGGTTAGGTGATGTGAAAAGCAGCCTCCTAGGGCTCAGGGTGGAAAGTACAATCTAGGGATACCGGCTGTGCACTGCCAGTATTCTGCTCTGTAGATTTCCGTTTCCTGGAAGTCTGTGAAGTTCTTGGTTATACAGGCAAGGTGGCCAGCAAAGTGGCTCTCCCCAATCAGAATTACAACTTAACCAACTCCGCAGAAACTACTTCTGGTGCAAACATTTCATGTAAAGGACAATAGGCCATGCTTGTTACCAGAGCTGTCATGGTTAAGGTGACTGTAGGGTGCCTCTGAAATGCTGCTCCAAGGAACCCTCGTCTTCCATTCTTGCTCTAGGGACCTAGTTCACAGTTTCCAAGGTCTTGTGCACACCGATGCTCAGAGCTGACAGTGACCTCACGCCCAGGAGTAGAAGGTTCTACTGCAAGCAGATTCCTCCCAGCAAGTCCTTTCCCCATGAATATTTTTAGTGGCCAGGCATCAAAGCATACTACCTAGAACAACGGTTTGAGATGCAAGCCAGAGTGTGTCCCAAAGAATACCAGGAACATCCTTAAGCAGACAGTGGAAAAAAATCAAAACTTTTAAACAGGAAAGGAGTGGCCAGCACAGCACAATCCAAGTCACACTCTCGGGGACTGTAGAGGAGCCCAGAGTAGGGGTGTCAATGAGGTGAATAACAGGCTTGAAGTAGAATGTGAGGTAGGTTTGGGGGGGCCTATTCTCAGGTTGCCTCCTACAGGGTGTAGTAAAGGGAGGAGCTCTGGGGAGGGCATGTCTTTCTGAGGTGGGGTCAAAGGAGGAGCTTACGAGGTTGTATCATGAAGAGGCCTTATAGCGGGCCACTCTGAGGCTAGGCTTAGGACATGAAGGCCAGCCACTTGCCCAGCTCTACAAATAAAATGCTTTGTTTATTTATAGTCTCTCCAGGTCCCAGATCCCCTGCCGCCCTATCCCAACCTCCGGAGAAGAGGACTGATTAGTTCCAGAGGAGCCCGGAGAGGCTGGTCCATCAGAGGTCATCCCGACGGCTGCAGGTCCTGAGTAGCTGGGCCAGGTAGAGAGCAAAGGCACGAGGCCCTGGGTGCCTCATCCCAGGGCAAAGGCCAGGCCCACCGAAGAAGGCGGCATGGGGTGAGCTCACCAGGGTCAGCTCCCTGGGATCAGGCCAGGGTCTGTACTGGCACCACAGCTCTGTTCATAGGACGGTGGAGCCTCTGTGGGGAGAAAGCAGGATCAACAAGGGGCTCGAGGCATCCTCATGTGCTCACCACCCCAGCCCCTGTCGTTTCCACTCACCGTAGGGGTAGCCCCATGAGCTGTACTCTGGGGGGAGGATCAAGGCGCTGGTGGTGGGCACTGGGCCCCCGGAGCCTTCTGCAAAGTAGGGGACGGTGGCACCGATCGAGATGCACAGGGGAGGGTGCAGGGAATGGCTGGCAGGGCTTCCAACCTGAACACAGGGATCACCGGTGGGGACGGGCACGGGACCCAGCGGAGTGGGCGGTGGCTGCTGCCGCTGAGAATGGATCTTGGTAGAGAGGGAGACTGGGTCTGATAAGTGGGGGCCACCGGCCACTGCCTCGGCCTCTTCCTGGGGGGGTGCAGAGGGCACCACTGGGGACAGGGCCCCAGGAGAGGACCCTGGGCCTACACAGGGGCTCAGTGGGGTCTGGTTCACAGCAATATTGCCAACAAAGAGTGGGAGAGTCACAGTGGCTTCGGGTGCCTTCATGGAGACCTGGAAAGAATGCAGGCATTGAGGAGTCAGGCCAAGGGCGCCTAGCCTCAGGCCACCCAGCCCCGGACAACACCAAACCTGCAGGTAATAGTCGATGTGGATAAGGCTGCAGCCAGGCAGGGCTGACTGGGGCAGGGCAGGCACCAGGATCTGTTCTTGCCACTGAGCACGCCTCCAGGCCTTGACACCCGTACCCTCCACCTCCGCAATGGTTCGCACATCGTAGATCCAGCGCTTGGCCTTATAGGATACCTTCTGAGGAGAGACCAGGCTGTGAGCTCCGGCAGGCCAGCAACCCACCCTTTCTGTCCCATGGGAAAGGGACAGGCTCAGGGAGCCAGAGGGCTCTGACCTGTAGCAAGCTGGCCACCACAGGGCTGGTGTCCTTGCCTGACTGGTTCTCAATGTCAGCCTGCAGCCGAAGCACCTGTCCCACCACATAGCCACGAAGGTCAGTGCTAGCTGTGAGAACCACATTGCCCGTCTTCACCAGCTTGTAGGAGAACTTCTTGGTAGTGGAGGCCACGTTGGGTTGCTTGAAGGGAAAACGGGACGGAACTTACCAAGTGAGCACAGAGTGCATTCCTTGTAACATGGGGACAGGCCCTCAGGCTGCAGAGCCTGGCTGCCTGGCCCGAGAAGGTTGAAGGTAACCAAGGAAGCCTCTGCTCCATCCTCACCTCAATATCTGGGATGCTGTTCAGGTTCAAGGGGCTCAGGATGTAGAACACGAGGCTACATTTGTGATCCTTGGAAAAACGTGGAGTGTCGATGGAGGCCCTCACCTGGTGCACAATCTTCCCAAAGGGTCCCTCAAAAGAAGTGGGTGCCGTGGCTACGGAGAGAAGAGGGATTGGCTGGCACCCAGCACCTCCCACCCGTAGGTCCCACCGGTTCAAAGCTGCTGTCCCCACAAGCTCTCCACTCACCAGGAAGCAGGAACTGAAAGGGGAAGTTGTGCTCTCCAGCCGGCAGACTTCCTACAGAGACACGAAGGAGGTGGGAGCAAACCAGAGGAGATCCACAGTGGCCACAGTGCCAGCCCAGAAGTAGGCACTGCAGCCCACCAGTCCACACTACCTGTCTCCAGCACTACAGCAGAATGATCAGAGCAGAAACTACAGGCTACATCCAAGGGTTCAGTTTAAATGAGAGTGTGTGGCTGGAAATGTAGTTGGTAAGAGTGTTTGTCTAGCAGGCTCAGAGGTTAAGAGCACTGACTGCTCTTCCAGAGGTCCTGAGTTCAATTCCCAGCACCCACATGGTGGCTCGCAACCATCTGTAATGAGATCTGGTGCCCTCTTCTGTGTACGTAATAAGTAAATAAATAAATCTTTAAAAAAAAAAAAAAAAAAAAAAAACAGAGTGTTTGCCTAGCATACACAAAGCTCTGGTTCAAGTCCAAGGACTGCGACATAAATCAGATATGATAGCACACTCCTGGGAGATAGAAGCAGGAGAATCGGAAGTTTAAGGGCATCCTCAGATAACACAGCAAGTTCAAGTCCACCTTGGGCTACATGAAGCCCTGTCTCAAAAATGAATAAATACAAAATTTAAAAATAAAAAAACAAAATAGGAGGGTAGTTGAGGATAGAGGACAGGGGTGAAACAGCCATACCAAGGGTCAGAGCCCACCCAGTCCCAGTACCAGAGAGTAGGATAGAGTGAGCACCCAAGAGACAGTCGTTGGGAGGGGAAGGGAAAGACTGACCCCACTCCAGGCAAGGGCTGCCCCTGTGATCACTGCTGGCTCCCACACTCACCCTTGTCAGCCAGTGACAGGGAGCTGTTGAAGTAGCTCTCCTCCACCACCCATGCCCCATCGTTGGCCTTGTTGGAGACCCCACAGGAACCCATGCAGGTCACCCGGATAGCTGTAAGGGGAAGGGTGGCATAAGCCTAAGCCAGCTGACAGCCTAGGCTCCTCCTCCCTGTCCCCAGCACAGGAATTCATGTAGGGCTGGAAGGACCCATGGGTCAAGCAGCTGCACCAGCCGAAGTACCTGGGAAGGCCACGATGCAAGCAGCCTGTCATCTTCCCAAGACTATCTCCTGGCCATCCCCAGTACTGGTGTTCTCCCAGGGAACCAGGCTGGCAAAGAAACTGATGGGCAGTGTTTCATCTGTCCCACAGACACAGTGGGAGGCCAATAATCCCCTAGATAACCCCTGGGCTACTACCCCCAAATTGGTTCCTTCAGCCTCTAGCCAGACCTATAAAAACCCAAGGTACTCTGTTTTCCATGATGCAAATCAGTTAGGCCAGGAGCCGCCCCTTCAGTCTCAAGAAAGCTAATGCCAGCCCTCTCCCTGCAGGAATGCAGTCAAACCTGTCTGAGCCAGTCAGCCATCTAGTACTGGAAGGCGAGCCCAGACTGACTTCCTGGGCAACAGTGCCCGGGAGGCTAACTTTCTACACCTTGAGGTAGCTGGTCCCCCCCCACCCCCCACCAGTGGGAGTACCCAGCACGGAACCACTAGAGACAGAGTTCAAATTCCTCTAACAGACACATCCTGGGCCCACTGTGACCAGGGAGCCATAGGTGAATGAGGAGATACAGTTGACACTGATCACAAGGGAGACGGCTCAGGCGAGGTGGTAGGTGAGAGCCAATGAGAGGCCCCCTGAAGTGACACCCGTCTCCCTGTAGGGTTGGGTCACAGTTTCAGCACTGTTTCCAGACTTACTTGACAGGGTCACGGGAAGGTAAGACTATTCAGGCTTTCATCACTGTGACAAAGCCACCAAGCAGGAGGAACAAAGATATCCAAGTACCTAGGAGTTGACTACACCTGCCTCAGTCTCCCTCTGTCATGGTCCAGGCATCCTGCTCGTTACCACCAGACCACTTAGCTTCCTCCTATAAATCTTGGCTCATCCTCAACTCATGCAGCTATCCACAATGCACTTCCTCACCTGTTCCCACTCTTGAGGCCGTCCTGCATTCCTGCTGTACCTCTCTGCCCCTTGGAAGTGCCAATGACTGGCTGTCCCTCACCCTCCCTGTCAGCCCAACCTCATCACTCTAACCTCCCACTTGGCCTGAAATCCACACTTCTGACTCGGGCCTCTGAAGTCAAACCACCAACGATTCCCACCCTGGAATCAGAACACTAGGGGCATCTATAGGCCAGCAAATAGTTCTTGAGATGATAGGGGTAAGAGGAGGCTCAAAAATCTGCTGGGGGACCAAGATACTTCACCAAGGGTACATCTCCCTAAGGATGATGGGTCCCATACATACATTAAATACATTAAAAAGAAGTATGGAGGTCTCAGCTTAGTCCAGATGCTCCCACAGTGCCATCAGGACCCCTACAGTGAATGGCACAGAGCTATTCAAATTCTTCATCCTCGATGTATGAGTAATAACTGGTTGCTTTAGCTGTTTGGTTTAAGGGTGGTTTGTTATCTGACCTTTTTGTAGCAGTAGATAATTGGAACCAATACCCAGCCATACTAGAAATCAGGGAAAACCCAGGTGACTGGCATGTTTACTCATCAGGATGACAACTATTGAGCACTTTGACCCATGTTGGGGTGGGGATGGGGAAGTAGACTCCTTACACCACCAACTATAAACTGACGAACTTCGTGTGCTCGCATCGATACATGCCAGGACACCCATCAGCTCTCAAGCCCTATCCCCTATCCTATTTCATCAGGAGTCTCTCATTGCACTGCTTATAACAGCAGCCAAGCACCCAGTCTGGACTTCCTACAGTTCGGGCAAAGGAGCACGGGACCACCAGATTCCAGAAAAAAAAAAGCAGCATCCAAAGTGGGGGTGGATGGGTCAGACTCTGATCTTCCCAATGCCAGGCATTTCCCTCCTGGGAGGACCCTGACCGTGTGACCAGCCTCTAGCCACCAAGGTGAACACATCCTGTGCCATTCACTCTTCCATTAGAAATGACTGAGGAAAAGGGTTTGCAAACAGTAAGTTTGCTGCTGCCCCAACAAAACACCTGAGGCTGCTCCTTTGTCTCAGCAGGGTCACAATCAAGGTGTAAAAATTGCCCTAAGAAAATTCCTCAAAGATCCCAGTTCCACTGGCCAAGAACAGTGCCAGTTCTGCTTGAGAAATGAGGAGTTCTGAGCATACTAGGTGGTCTCTCTGCTGCTGCTGCTGCTGCTGCTGCTGCTGCTGCTGCTGCTGCTGCAAGGCGCTGGACCCTGCTCTCTTTGTGTTGGGAGAATTCCCACAGAGCTAGGGCTGGTTCGATTCTGGAGTGTTAGCACCTAGCTTTAATCTGTCTTTTGTGACTGCTACCTACCTTTTGTCTCCCAGTACCCTCTATGAGCATCTTGTTTGAGAATTTTCTGAAGGTACAAAGCCTATGCAAATTAATTTGAGGAAGAACCCAGAATACCGAATATGCAGAGAATTTGCATTTGGCATTGTCCCTTTGGGAAGCTTAGACTAGAGGTTTTGGGGCACGAAGATTAACTTGGTAAAGGGTGTAAATTGGAGAACAATAAAAGGGCCCTTTGGAGATGGGCGGTGGTTGGCACACGCCTTTGATCCCATCACTTGGGAGGCAGAGCCAGGGGGATATCTGTGAGTTTGAGGCCAGCCTGGGCTACAGAGTGAGATCCAGGACAGGCACCAAAACTACACAGAGAAACCCTGTCTCAATAAAACAAAAATAAACAAACAAATAAATAAAAAAATAAAAGGGCCCTTTGTTAAGGTACAGTGGACCAGTCCTTAGAGACAGAACCCTCCCTGCAGCTGGGAAAGGCTAAGCTCATCCTTGAGGTGCCTCTGTCTCTTGACTACATGGACCCGAATGAACACCCACACCCAACATACACCACTTTTTTTTTTACAGTCTGCACATGCCTGTGATGGCAAGACTAGGCAGGTTGGAGGCAATCCCATGATAAAAGATCCTCATTTCCTTTATTTCCTGGCTCTCAGTGTGCCTGCTGCTTTTCAGTAATATCACAGTCCTACCCCTCCACTCTCATGCCAAGGGATCTTCTATGGGAGGTCCCCATGTTCCTCTCACCAGCTCACACCCTGCAGCATAGCCAGGCAACCAGGGAAGGGTGTTCTAGCAAGTCCTCTACTACAGAACATTAAGTGGCAGCCTGCAGAACAAGTATAAAAAGGTGTCATCCAAGTATAAAGAGCACTTCCGAACAGTGTTCACAACTACAATAAAAGGCAGGCACCAAACTGACCAGGGGCCACCAAACCAGCAGCTGTTCACCAATGGAGACAGGAAGCTGATTTGTTTTGTTATTCTTTTCTTTCTTTCTTTCTCACCCCGCCCCCCAAGTAAAGGTTTCTTTGTGTAACCTTGGCTGTCCTGGGACCAGCTCTATAGATCAGGCTGGCCTTGAACTCACCGAGATCCACCTGCTTCTGCCTCCTGAGTGATGGGATTAAAGGTGTGCGCCACCACCGCCCAAAGGCTGCTCTGGTTTTCTAAAGAAAATCATGGTGTGTGTTGTGTTCCACAGAGACTTCTGGAACTTTCTTCCCTCAGGGGTGCTTCTACCTGCCCAGTAGTTACCTTTCATGCACCATGACAACTAAGACCTCTCCATTCCTCTCCTGGTCCCATGGATCTTGAACCTGACCGCCCCCACCAGCTACCACATTCTACCATTAAATCGGTGCTTGGCCTGCTTCCAATTGTATCACAAGAGTAACAAGAATAGCTACCTCTTGGGGTGCTGTGAAGACATAGCTGGTCTATGAAAAATAGAGAGAGGGCAGGAGAGAACTTAGGGGTGAAGGGCATTTGTTGCTCTTGAAGAGGACCCTGGTTCCATTCCCAGAACCCACACGATGGCTCATAACCATCTTGAACTCTGGTTCAAGGGCATTCAATGCCCTCTTCTGAACTCCAGGGGCACACAACCAAGTAGTGCACAGACATACCTGCAGACAAAACATGTACACATGTAAAATAAAATGAATAAATCTAATTTAGAAAAGGAAAGAAAAAATAGGGAGACCTAGGTGTGGTGGTGCACACATGCAACCCCAACACTCAGAAACCTACATCAGGAGGATTACAAATTTGAGGTCAGTCTGGGCAGCCCAGAAAGATGTGGTGTCTAAAAAAAAATAATAAAACAATATTTAAAAAAACAGAAAAGAAGAGGGCTTAGAATCAGCTCTGTGATGAGGACTTATCGGACATGCAATAGGCTCTAAATTAAATTCCCAGCACCTGAAAAAATTCAGAATAAGAAAAGCACCAGGCGTTGGTGGTACACGCCTTTAATCCCAGCACTCAGGAGGCAGAGGCAGGCGGATCTCTGTGAGTTCAAGGCCAACCTGGTCTACAGAGTGAGTTCCAGCAAAGGCGCAAAGCTACACAGAGAAACCCGGTCTCGAAAAACAAAAATGAAACAAAAAAGAAAAAGAAAAGCAAGTAGGAAGATCACCATCTGATCCAGAATTGGGGTATAATGAGTCATAAGAGAAAAACACAGTGGGTCCTGCCATTCTCCAGGGTCTAGAACACTATTCATTCCTCATCTGTGAGACAGCTAGTGTCCTCGTGGATGGGTGCCAACCACTGTCAATCATTAGACAAGTATTCAGTGAACAAGACTGAGAACCCTAAGGAGGTAGAATTCTTTGAGAATATGGGAGCCTCCTCCACTGGGCCTAGCAGAAACTCAACAAGTGTCCTTTGAATGAAGGAAAATAAAAGAGCCATCGTTATTTCCATCCCAAGCAGGACTTCAGGAAGTTCCAGAGTGGCCTCTACACACACACACACACACACACACACACACACACACACACACACACACACACTCAACTGCCAGCAATCTAAATAATCCACCTTCCAGCCCATGATCCTGGGCACTTTTACAATTGGGACCATCAGCTAGAGCTCTCTTAGCCTCCGTAAGGTCAGCTGTCCATTTACTCACTCCTTATCCAATACAAGGAGGTCATGAGATAGCTCATCCCTATACTGTAGTTGGCAATAGCCTGTTTACCCCAAGTTCAGCCAGGAGATGACAGAAAAAAAAAAACTGAGCAGCCAGTTCTAAATAGATCTCTCTTCTCTGTACTGTATTCCCCAAGCCTACAATCCTGTAGCCTGCACCATATCCCCTCAGCCAATGTGGAGTTTTCTTTACATTTCTCATACCTTCTTGGGTCCAGAAGGAGCTGGCCTATCACTGCTGTAGCCTCTACAAAAGCAACATCTGCTCTCACCCAGACCACAAACTAGGGATACAGCAAAGGAAGGCAATGTGATCCTGACCAGGAGCCTCAACAAGATCAGGGCCTGACAGGCACCTACAACCCAGTTTCCTTCTAGACCTAGATAACACCAGGTCCAGGGTTTCAACTGGGCCTAGGATGGCTGAGGAGGATAGCTATCCATCCTCAGCAGACACCAGCTGTGGTTTTGGCCAAGCAGCCTGGTAGTTCTCACAGAAGGCAAAAATAAAAGAGTATCAAGCATGGACACCATACAGTTTTTGCACTCAGTGCCAGCGGCTAGACAGAGACCACAACAGTGCCCACCTGACCCTAAGAGCTCAGTCATCAAATCCCACACAGGTTCCCTCCCTATTCGTAGACCCAGCACAGAGGAGGCTGCACTTGAGAACCCAGTCAATGGCAAAAGAGTAATCTAATCCCTAGCCCCAGAGTCTCAGACATATGCATCAGCAGAGGGCTGGGCTCAGCTCAGCTCAGCTCCAAGGCCTTAGGGCAGGAGCGAGGAGATTGCTAGGACTAACAAGACCCCTTGCCAGCATCCACAAGCTTTAAGAAAGTCTTAAGCCTTAAATTGAAAGCAAAAAAAGGTTCTCTGTGGATCCTGCTGGGAACCTGCACACTTGGACCAGGACTGTCTTTGAAGAGGAAGGTCCTGCATAGTAGCCTGGAGGCGAGGAAAAGAGAGTACCCAGGGCACACTAGGTTCCAGGTGGGGGACCAACAGGTGCAGAGTGCAGCGGACCTTGGACACCTGAACAAGGGAAGACTGGAGGCCTGCATACTTCTACCTCCAGGGTCGCCTGGGCATAGTGAACAAGCGCTTGGGCCCTCACAGACTCTGGCCTCCCCTAGGCAGAGAGCACAGCATGGGACAGATGCGGAAGGACTGGGCCACCGAGCTGTCTGCCCCGCCCTGGCCTCCTAGCACAGCCGGACCCTGGAGTCCGCAGTTCCGTCGTAACCCAGGGCTACCCGGAGGCTGAGAACCCAGTCTCGGAGCCCACCGACCACATGGGTTTTGGAGAGCCCCGCCCCACCGCAGGTGAGAACGCTTCTACCCGCTCCCCGGAGGCGACCCCGCGCCCACCTCGGAAGGGCAGTGGCGCTCCCAGGCGCACGCGCACGGCCCCGGCCAGCGGCTCTCCAGGACTGTAGACGACGCGGCCCTGCCTCAGGCGAATCTCGAAGAGCTGCACCCTCCCCATACCGCGGTGTCCCGCGCCGCGGTCAGACGCCTGCTAGGGCTGAGGCTTGGAGGCCCGCCCCGTCCCCCTCCCCCGACAAAGGACACGCCCAGGCTGCAGGATGCGCCTGGGCCGGAGAGCTAGCCGGTGCCCCAAGACCCACCCTCTACACAAGGACACGCCTCTTTCCCAAGACCCGCCTTCCCCAGGGCTGGTCCCTGACTTGAGGACACGCCCACGACTGGGAACACGCCCCCACACGGACCCGCCCCTTTCCCTAGACTTGCCGCCCTAGAACACTAGCACCTGCTCCCAACAGCTCCGTCCTCGTCCCACCCTCCCAGACCAGCGGGGCTGGCTACCCACTGTGCCGGCCCCTACGCTTTAGGCTCAGCCCCTAGTGGGATCCTTGAGACCTCTGCTGCTCACGGGTGAGGCCTGCTCACCTGTTGCCGGGCACCCATTTTCAACGATAGGTGGTCAGGAGGAGTGCTCGGTGCTCAGGCAGTATGGGTTTATGCCCCACGGCCATCGTGCTCTGCGCACTGCAAGCCGCCCCGCGCTTCCTAGGGTGTGAGTAGAGGCCCAGAAAACAGGTGCTGAGTAACGCAGGCATAGAGCAGCCGGCGCTCAGGACAGGAACAAGAGACCCCTGCCGGGTTTGGGGCCTGGAGCAAGCGAGGCTGCTGAGACACAGGTTTTGTTTTGTTTTTTAAATTACTGAATCACACTTTTTAAAAGGTCTTGGTGTTGGTTGTGAATTGGGGAAAGGGTCTTAAATCCATATGTTCACAATTTACTGTTCTATTTTACAATAGTGCGAAAGCCAATTTAAGCAAAACTTTTTCAGTTCGGTACTGAATTAAATAAATTATATGGTGGCTCAGTGGTACAGCACCTGCCTAGCTCAAAGAAGGTTCTGGTCCCCTAAATTACAAACATACATATAGAACTTTGTATTGGATAATGGTTCCCCATTGTGGACTGATGGGTCCCGAGGCTATTTTGAACGTGAGACTAATGAATGTCGTAATGCAATAAATGGGTTCTCAACTTATGGTATTTTCTACTTTTCACTTTGTGATAGGTTTATCATAATATAACCCCTTCAAAAATCGAGAATATATACCAAGAAGAGCGGGGCAAATCATTTTGTGAGTAGGAGCTATGACATGGAAAAGCCAGGTGCCCCAGACACCCTATGAATCTACGAGCGTTAAAGGGCTAAAACAACCTATGTGCAGATAACTGAAGTCTGGGCTAGATGGTGAGGACTTGACCCAGAAGCTAATCTGATTCTCTTCAACAGGAGAGGGGAGCTGGGTGTGGTACTTAGGTTCCAAACCCATGACAATAGGCCTGCTTAACATATCTAAGCGGACCAGGTTCTCCCAGCAACCCTCAGGCCCTACCTGTTACAAGGTCTTCCTGACTGGCATACTCTGACCCCTCCCTAAACTTCGGGCAACTCCCTTCCCCCAGATGCCTTTCCCGAAATAGTCCAGCCATTTTGGTACCCGGCTCTCTTTTGCGCTTTCTGGCTGTGGTACCTGGTTACCCCCTCTCTCCACTCTTCCCTCCCCTTCCATTTTGCCTCACATGGCTCAGGGTCATGTCCACTCAGGATTCTCCCCGATGTCTCTGCCTCTGGGTATGTCTCCGTTTTATCTAGAAGGAACTTTCTCTTCCACCATACCTGGGAACAGTCATGGCCTTTCCTTTTATTTTGTTCATTCATCTGGTGCAATACTGGGGAGTGGAATAAAAGAGTTCCCTCCCCCAAGGAACTCTACTCTCTAAACAAAGCTGACCTGACTTTTCCTAAGGTACGTAGGAATCATTCCTCTCCCCCACCATATTTAGGAGCAGCCATATCCTTTTTTTTTTTTTTTCTCTCCATTCAGCACACACTTAGGGAACAGAGGCAAGCTGCCTTGTCTACAGTGAGGTCTGGGCCTGCCAAGGCTACCTAGTGAGACAGTCTCAAAGAAAGGAAAGGGAGTCCTGAGCTTCAACACTAACATCCTTGGAATTCCTGTATTTCAGGGGGAGTGTCCATCAGTCACACTACTGTATAGTTCATGCACAACTAGGCAAACTAGGAGCCTCCTAAAAGACTTTATTGACAGGAGGAAAGTGTTTCAGTAAAGAGATAGTTTGTATTGGAGACTGCTAAGTGTGGACCTTACTCTAGGCCTCTGAAGTAGCTACAACCTTCATTGTGATCCCAGTCAATCCATGTCCTTCCGGGATCCATTTCAGCACAACTTCCACCAGGAGCCTTCCAAATGTAGATGTTCCCTTACCCAACTGCTGTGTCACTGGACCTCCAGTCAGGATGGGTCCTGGTTGCCATTTGCAACTCGCAGCTTTAACACTCATGATCACAAATACTCACCCACCACTTCCCTTGCTCCCTCTGCTAGAACCTGGCTAGCCCTCTCATTTCCTCGTGATTCTATCTTTAACTCACCATCATTCTGAGATTTCACTCTTGATGAGGTACTCTTACTGACTTCAGGTGAGAGGCTCCCTCTGATCCCCAGACATTTGTGCTTCGGTATCCATGGTTCCTAAGAGGCAGTACTGTTATGCCCAGATCTCGGGGACCCCCAAAAGACCACCACGGAGACTGATCCCGCATGTAAAAGCAAAAAGCCTTTATTTCAAGCTCCAGAGCTGTGGTGCCTCTGTCAGTCCAACATAGCGGTGAGAGCAGAGCCCTGAGCTCAGGTGGGGCAGAGTTTTTATCATAGCAGAGGTTGGGGTGAGGGGATTTCCAGGGTCCAGGAACCTGATTGACTGACAATTGTCCAGTGGTATCTGTAAAACAAAAATAGGTATGTGCTAGACTCAAGGACACCTATCTAATGGTTGGAATGTTTGGGATGTCAGGTACTTCCTCACCCCTGGGTGGTATCAGCTTGAGGCTTTTTCCTGGATCTGGGTGTTGCCTGCCAGTAAGCCTGTCACAGCAGCTGTGTCTAGGCCCATAAGCCTGTCATGGCTGCTGTGTGGTCAGGCTACTTTGGGGCCCCTTCACAGTACCACCACAGGACCACAGGAAAAGCACTTGTCAGGAGTGAGGAAAGTATGGTCTTTATTGTTTTCCACATAGAAAAAGAATGATCAGAGCAGGAGAGGCAAGGTGGGGCAAGTTTAAGACTCCATGGCTGTTATTTAATAGTCAACTTGGCTAGATCTGGAATCAACTAAAAGGCAAACTGCTAGGCACATCTACAAGGGATTTTCTTGATCAGATTTGAAGTGGAAAAAACTCAACCTAAATGTGACATCTTCTCGTGGCAGCGCAGATAAAAGGACACAGAGGGAATCTTTGCCAGCTTGCCTTCACTCTTGCTGGAAGTTCATTTATCTGCCATTGCTGCATTACATCACTGTTGCATTAGAACCCAGACTACCAATGCAGACTGATGACCAGCAGCTCTCCAGGATTCTTCCAGGCCTTCAGCATCAAATTGGGACTGCTGAGACATCCAGCTTTTTGTACTGAGCAATTACTGGATTCTTTGCCTCTCCAGTGTGAGACAGCTACTGTGGGGCTATCCAGAGTATATTATGTAAAACCATCTAAATACACACATATACACATCTCGGAGGAGGGTAATCTCACTATGTAGCCCTGCCTGGCCTAGGACTTCCTATACAGAACTGCCTTTGCCTGCCAAGTACTGGGATTAAAGGCATGTGCACTATCACACCTCCATACCACTCTTTTTTAAAGATTTGTGTAGCATGAATCTTCAAAGTTCTTATTAATAAAATCAAACCTGAAGCCAGTTATTGGGGTGAATGCTGGAAGATCAGAGATGCAGAACAAGCCACAGCTACCTCACCTTGCCAATTCCTCAGGTGAACTGTGATGCTAGAAGCCTAAAAGTTTAACCAGCCAAAAGCTTCTAGTTCCTGGTCTTCATGCCTATATACCTTTCTGCTATCTGCCATCACTCCCTGGTATTAAAGGCTCACTTCTTGGGATTAAAGGCGTGTGTCACCATGCCTGGCTGTTTCTAGTGTGGCCTTGAACTCAGAGATCCAGAGGGATCTCTGCCTCTGGAATGCTAGGATTAAAGGCATGTACTACCACTGCCTATCCTCTGTTTAATGTTGTGGCTGTTCTGTCTCTGACCCCAGATAAGTTTATTGGGGTGCACGATATTTTGGGGAACACAATACCACCACAAATTTGTTTTTGTTTTTTTGAGACAGGGCTTCTCTGTATAGTCTTGCCTCTCCGGGAACTATCTGGAGACCAGGATAGCCTTGAACTCAGAGATCTTGCTTGCCTCTGCCTCCCAAGTGGAGATTAAAGGCATGCTCTACCACCACCTGTTTTACAAGATTTAAACTGCTTATATGCACATGTTTCTGTGTGTGGGTATATGCACATGTGAGGTGCTCCTGAAGGCCAGCTGTTGATGTTTCTGTGTGTGGGTATATGCACATGTGAGGTGCTCCTGAAGGCCAGCTGTTGGGTCCCCTGGAACTGGAATTATAGACCATTGTGAGCTGCCATGTAGGTGCTGGGAAACAAACCCAGGACCTCTGAAAAAACAGTAAGTGTTCTGAACCACTGAGTTATCTCTCTACCACCACTGCCCCTTCCCCTTTTTTTTTTGCTTTTTTCAAGACAGTGTTTCTCTGTGAAACAGTCCTGGTTATCCTGGAACTCACTCTGTAGACCAGGCTAGCCTCAAACTCAGAGAGATCCGCCTGCCTCTGCCTCTCAAGTGCCGGGCTGAAAAGCATGCACCACCCAGCACCACTCCCCCTTTTTTAATTTAAGATTTCATTTATAATATTGTATGTTTGTATGTATGTGTACTTTTATGTGGGTGCCCACAGAGGTCTAAAGAGGATTCCAATTCCTGGAGATAGTTGTGAACCTCCTAACATAGACACTAGGAACCAAATTTGGGTCCTTCTAAGAGCAGCAAGCTCTCTGAACCACTGAGCTATCTTTCTAGATCATTTGTGTTTTCTGAGTCAGGGTCTTGCTCTGTAGCCTAGGCTGGCCTAAAATCAATATCCTTCTGTCTCAGCCTCCCCAGAAGAAAAAGAAAAGATGTGGACTATTGTGCGCTAGAGAGATGGCTCAGTGATTAAGAGCACTGGCTGTTATTCCAGATGACCTGGGATTATATGCTTGTAATTCTTCCTTCTGGGAATTAAATGCAGGGTTTCATGTTTACTAGGCTAAGTTACCACTCAATCTACATCCCCAGCCCTGAGGTTGTTTATTAGGAAGCAAACTGGAAGAGAAATTAGTACTCATAAGTGAGACATTGCCAAAGCAGAATTCTAAAATGTAGTACTGGGCTGGGAAGATGGCTTACTTGGTAAGTGCTTGCTGAACATGCAGAAGAACCTAACTGTATCACCAGCATTCGTGTCAAAAACAAAACAAACAAACAACAACAAACAAAACAGGTATGAGGGATGAAGAGATGGCTCACTGGCTTCTCTTCTAGAGTTTGAGTCCCAGCGCCCACATGGCCGTTCACTGGCTTCTCTAATTCTAGTTTCTGTCCTAGGAGATCCAATGCTCTCTTCTGGCCTCCAAGGGCGCCGGGTATTCATGAGCACAGATGTGGTGCCCAGACATACCATGTGGACACAATGCCCATGGAGGGAGAGGGAGAGAGAGAGAGAAATCAGATGTGGTAAATGTGCCCATAATGCCAGCTTTAGGAAGGCAGAGGAAGGAGGACTCTAGGATTCTCTGGCCAGCCAGTCTAAACAAAATTTGTGAATTCTGGTCTTAGTGAAAAATGCTGTTTCAAAAAGGCAGGTGGAGGGAGCTGGAGAGATGGTTCAGCCATTTGTGCTTGCAGAGGACCTGGGTGTGATTCCCCGTGCCAACATGGTTGATCACAATGTCATAACTCCAGTTCCAGGGGATCCAACGCCCTCTTCCAATTTCTGAAAGCACCAGGCACACATGTGGCACACAGACTTACATGCAAGCAAAATACTCATACATATTAAATTAAAAAGAACCTTTTTTAAAGGTGGAGAGCTTTTGAGGGAGACACTTGACATCAACCTCTGGTCTCCACATGCATGTGCATGAACGGGTAACATACATCACCCACATATAAATATAGCACTAGTTTTGAAAGCAGCAGCAGCAGGATGAAGAACAGTGAGAAAACTGCTACCTGGGACTGGTGACAGAAGGACATGGAGGAGCCAAGTCACTTACCTCACAACAGCCAGGGAAGAGAGAAAGAGATCCTTAAAAAATACCTCTCCCTGTCATGGTGGCACATGCCTTTAATCCCAGCACTCAGGAGGCAGAGCCAGGCAGATCTCTGTGAGTTCGAGGCCAGCCTGGTCTACAGCTCGAGATCCAGGAAAGGCGCAAAGCTACACAGAGAAACCCTGTCTCGAAAAACCAAAAAACAAAACAAAACAAAAAAGCCGAGGGCACTTCCTCCAGTGAAGTGGTGGCACACACCTTTAATCCCAGCACTCAGGAGGCAGGTGGATCTCTGAGTTCAAGGCCAGC